ATGGCCAGTCCGGCCCTGGAGGGGGGGCACACGGGGGGCAAGCAATAACCTAGGGGGGGCAATTGTCCCCCCTCACCCCCCTGTAGCGACGCCACTGCTGATAAGCAGCAATTTAAATTCAGGTTTACATGAGGTAGTTTATGAAGCCCTTTTCCTTTTGATGTATTAGTGAATTTATATTATGAACCTTCCTGCTGTTGTGTTATTGTACCTTTTTCTCTTTTGAATTGGTACATGGATTGTTGCAGGATGTTATTGTTATGTTTTAAAGAATTGAAAAAACATTTCAGAAAAAAAGAGCGTTTACAAATGGGTATTTAAGTGAAGTAGTTGTAGGGCTTGAACTCAAACATATTTATTTTTTGTCCATTTGAGGGACACAGGAATTCAGAAACCGTTGGCATATGGCGCTGTCTACAAGAGGTTGGGGACACTGACCAACAAAAAAATTGGAAGCTAGCCCCCCTGCATAGCCCCTCCTCTACCCAGCATGCCACTTTATTTTGCTAGTGTCCTAGAAGGTTGGACACCTTTTCTACAGATAGGCTGGGAAAAGTCTAACTACTTTTTGCTAGCTTATGGAAAAATGTTTCTCAATCAAGAATCTTTGTTGAACTGCTGCCTGAATTGGTCTCTATATAGCAGCTATCCAGGTTTGCATTTTCTCAGTCTAGCTTTGATCTTCAGGCACTGGGCTTTGCATTGTTGCACTTTCCAGTGTACTGGGTTAGTTGGCTGTAGAGCACTTTTCAGGTCCGGAGCTATGGCACAGCCCTAGGTGTGACCCTGTCTCTGAAGACTCACTTTGTGAGTAATGCCACAGGACTGAAGCACTAGGTTTTACCTCACTGTTTTCACCATAGGGACCCCTTTCAAATTCTTGCCACCACTAGTTTTACCATGGTAAGGGTTAAGGCTGAGGGTCGGAACACTGAGGTCATGCTCTGGGTGGCGCTCTGCCATGCCATTCAGCCACAAGGAAGCACCATGCTGCTACTGCTCCTGTCTCTGAAACACCACTGCCAGCCTACAGTAACCTGGTCATCTCTGGCCAACAGAAACCTTCATCAACACCACCTGTCTGGTCTGTGAGTACCTGAGGCCTTGCCTCATTTTGGCCTGAGTTGCATTACCACTATGCTGAAGCAACATGTCTTTGCTAAGGCACACGTAGAACAGTCTCGCTGCTACGGATGACCTCAGCTTATGCTACCCTAGTGGTTCTGGCGGTGTTTATCCCCAGAAGGACCTGACACCTGTGATCTGGAACCTGTTATAGAGTTGTCTTTATCAGAGTCTCCTGCGGCTCCGTCAGGTGGGGCTGAGACCTCCCCCCTGTCCACAGGGATCTCCACTTCCACGCTAGACTTCTTGACCCTTTGTGCTCAGCTGCTTGAGCATTCTGCCCGCAGGGGCTCTAAGATCACAGTCTCCTCCTTTTGACTCAGATTTACAGGGGTCTGGGTCTTTGAGCTCCAGCCACCTTTCCGTTGCACCCCATATGTAACTCCTCTATGCAGACTGAAAACACTCTGAAGGGTCCTGTGAAGGGAATTTATAAATCGGTAATCTGTTCCCACGGATACACCAGCTGCCTACCTTAACAGTAAGACCACTAGGATTGTTGAGGGTGTGCTGACCTATCGGGATTTCACTGACAGGGTGCTAGAGTTCTTAAATCCCATTTTTAATTAACTGGTCTGCCCTCAGTCCCATGCTAGGCAGTAAGTTTAATCTGTCAGAAGGGATTCCCCCTTTGTGAGGGTAGGCCTCCATGTTACAAACCAGCTGGATAAAATGTTTGGAGCCTTTTGCTTTTAGTTTTGATGGCTTGTTGCAAGCATCTAAACTCGTGTCTTGCATGGGACTGAAGTCTGTATAAAATGCTTAGGGCACTATCGTACGGGGTTAGGGAGATGATGATTAGGGTTATCTTACTCGATTAACTTTCAAAAGACATTAACTCTGCGGACCTGCTCTTGACACCATTGTTAGCAACACTACCGGTGGACAGAGTATGCTCCTGCCTCAATGCAGGAAGTCTGTGGAAGGATTGGAGGAATCCCACCAATCTCCTTTATATACTTCAGCAGCAGGAATATGTAGCACTTTAGAGCCGTGCTCCCACTCAATCCCTAGGCGTGGAAGCCATAGGTCAGCTAACCTTTCTGATAAGTCTTCTACCTGATGGTACACCCCTACTTATAAAGTTGAGGGCTTTTTGTACATCTAGAAAGATGGTTCTTGGATAGTTTGGCTCCCTGGAATTTGAGTTCTCCGGTCACCCCTTTTTTACACCACAGGCTAACCCCTTGTGTCTGACATCTCTTTCAGTTGCCCCTCACCATTATTCATGTGCACATCATATAGGACTTCACAGGTGTCTAACATTGGTGACTGTTGGTCACCAATGTGCAAAATGCAAACACGTTCAGCTCAAATCCTCACTAAAGTCTACACTCTTTTCTTGTTTCTCTGTCTTTTTCAGCCCCCGCCCACTCTGTTCCTGGGGACCTGGACTCAGGGCGAGACATACAGATGGTCTGTATGACCAAGAAGTCCCTAGCATGACCCACCTTTTCTTCTAGTAAATGGGG